TTTATTTCATCTTTTACCTTCTAATTTTATTTAATTTTTATATTAAATATAATCTTTATTTATTTTTTATTTTTTATATCCATTTCGTAATTAAATTCCTTTCTCAACTCATCCCCATCATTTATTTTTATGTAAGATTGAATTTTTATTTTTTTAATTGTTTTTTTCTTTGAATTCTTTTAAAATTGTTTTTTTTATTTTATTTTTTAACATTGAATTTGTTGATGATCAGGTTTCAATTTTTTTTTTGATATGATGATCCTAATTTTATGACTCGAACATGGATATTAAATGCTAACCCGAGTTGATATTAATCTTTATTTAATTTTATTTAATTTTTTGTATTCATCATTAAATACCAGGTATATTAGAGATTGAATGTTTTTATTTGTTTTTTGTGAGGATAATCTGGTCTTTTGACCTTAATTGTGAATTTGACATGCTAACTCGAATTTTCATGAGCCTTTTACATCATTTAATTTTATCTTGTTTTTGTGTCATAATTGGTTTTTATTTTTTTATTGTTTTTTTGGTTATTTTTTATTTTTTTTAATTTTATTTTTTAATATTTGATTGTTGAGAATTAGACATTATAATTTATTTATTTATTTTTTTCATTTTGATCTTTTTTTTTTTAAATTTAATCCTTTAACATTTGGAGTGGAAATATTATTTATATATTAATATTCAATCACCTTCTTTTTTTTTCATTAGTCTTTTTTTTTTCAATTGGAACCTTTTGTTTCTCAAATAATGATTGATAGATGAAATCCATAAAGGGAAAATAAAATTTAAAGATAAAGGATTAAAATATAAAAAATCCAAATGGCTAATATAAAATTCATAATAAGCCATTTTAGTTATTTTTCTTAGTTTTTATAATAAATAAAATTATTAGTTGGCTGCATTTTAGAAACCAAGATGAAAGATTTTTGTATCAATAATACCTTTTATTAAGATAAATTCAATAAAGATGTTTTTTAACTTTGAAAATGCCAAAAAAAAAAGACCAAAAAATATTTTTTCAGGTTTTGTAATGTGTTTTTAACTCAACTCATCCCCATCATTTATTTTTATTTTTATGTAAGATTGAATTCTTATTTTTTTAATTATTTTTTTTTAAATTGATTTTTTTATTTCATTTTTTAACATTAAATTTGTTGATGATCGGGTTTCAATTTTTTTTTTGATATGATGATCCTAGTTTTATGACTCGAACATGGATATTAAATGCTAACCCGAGTTGATATTAGTTTTTATTTTATTTTATTTTATTTTTTATATTCATTATTAAATACCAAATATATTAGAGATTGAATGTTTTTATTTGTTTTTTGTGAGGATAATCTGGTCTTCTGATCTTAATTGTGAATCTGACATGCTAACTCGAATTTTCACGGGCCTTTTACATCATTTAATTTCATCTTGTTTTTGTGTCATGATTGGTTTTTATTTTTTTATTTTTTTATTGTTTTTTGGTTATTTTTTATTTTTTTAATTTTATTTTTTAATATTTGATTGTTGAGAATTAGACATTATAATTTATTTATTTATTTGTTTCATTTTGATCTTTTTAAAAAATTTAATCATTTAACATTTGGAGTGGAAATATTATTTATATATTAATATTCAATCACCTTCTTTTTTTTTCATTAGTCTTTTTTTTTTCAATTGGAACCTTTTGTTTCTCAAATAATGATTGATAGATGAAATCCATAAAGGGAAAATAAAATTTAAAGATAAAGGATTAAAATATAAAAAATCCAAATGGCTAATATAAAATTCATAATAAGCCATTTTAGTTATTTTTCTTAGTTTTTATAATAAATAAAATTATTAGTTGGCTACATTTTAGAAACCAAGATGAAAGATTCTTGTATCAATAATACCTTTTATTAAGATGAATTTAATAAAGATGTTTTTTAACTTTGAAAATGAAAAAAAAAAGACCAAAAAATATTTTTTCGGGTTTTGTAATGTGTTTTTGATTGAATTTCAAAATGTTTTTGGTGATTAAATTGATTTACAAACATTTAAAGGATGTGCAGTAGATAAAAAAACATTTTTGATTAAAAAAACAATACTTAGATTCTCCAGCCACCCAAATTCAACATCCACAAAAGCAAGGAGTGATTCTTTTTAACGACAACTTTGGTTTTTTATGAAATTAATGACCCCAGAATCCAAAACGTCCAGGACTTGAATAAAGGGCTAGCATACAACAAAAGGCGAGTGGTCCGTCGCTCATACTGGATTGAGACGGCGAATAACTTGTTGCTTGTTGTCTTCCCTGCCGTCAGAGCAAGATTGCGATCTGCTGTTTATCTTTACCTCAGCCACATCCCAGTAAAATCCAGATTCTGCAAATCATGCTAATGCTCGTTCCGAAGACCTCGTTCTTCTTGCTTGTGCCTTGCGACGGGAGATTACGGACCATAGCCAGCCAATGTCAACAAAGTATCGCCATGCATATCCCGTGGTAATCGAGTTTATCGTGCAGTTTATTTTTATATTTAAAAAATTATAAATTTTTTTATTTAAAATTAATTTTTTTTTTATAATTTTAGATTATTTTGATGTGGTGGTATTAAAAATATTTTTTTAAAAATAAAAAATATTATTTTAATATTTAAAAATAAAAAATACTTTAAAAAATAATTATAACCATATTTTTAAATATTTTTAAACCAACAATCAGGTACAAGCTCGACAAAACCACCAAACTAATGGGGTTTATTTGCAAAAAGGAAAGATGTGAAACAAAAAGCATCACCCGACTCTATCTATATGATGTACGATTTTATTTGTTTTTTATTTTAAAAATAATTTAAATTTTTTATTTTTTATTTAAAATTAATATTTTTTATATTTTTAAATTATTTTAATTTTAATAAGGTAATATAAAAAATAATTTTTAAACATAAATAATACTATTTTTAAATAAATAATATTTTAAAAAATATTCATAACAACACAATTTTAATAAGGTAATATAAAAAATAATTTTTAAAAATAAATAATACTATTTTTAAATAAATAATATTTTAAAAAATATTCATAACAACACTAACAAATATACTCAAATGCTTCAACACCAGCCGACCATATTAATCCCCCGGGTACAAGCAGTCGCAAGCCCTGGGAACACATGGCCTTGCACAAGGCCATTCAATCTTCGTCTTTCCTAGGAGCGAGAGCTATGGAATATCAACGGACGCCACCCACCAGAAAGCTTAAAAAAAAAAAAACTCGGGTAAACATTTATAGTTGCTATGTGTAGTTTTAGACCTTTTTGATACTTATTTGTTTGTAAATTATTATTTTATTTGTTTCCTTAAAGATTAAAGCTAGAAAATATCCCTATACTATATCAATTTCGTTTACTTTATCTTTTTTTTTTTTAATTTATCATTTCCATCTACAATATGCTTGTGGTTTTTTATATTCTCGAGTTAAGAAATTAGTAAACTATAGTTAATTTTGAATACACGACAGAATTTTATGTTGACATGTGTTAAAAGAATCTTTCTTTCATATTCTCTACCTTTCTCTCTTGTTTTCCTTTTTCCGATTCCCTTCTCGTATTTTCCTCTCTCTTTCTCCCTTGCTTCTCCATATCATCACCCCCTTTTTTTTTTTCTTTTTTTTTTTTTGGGGGGGCGGCAAAAGGGTATGGATAATCCTATATAAACAACTAAATCATTCCTTGATAATTATATTTCTATGTTCTATGACCCATAACTTATCATTCATAGTTGCCGTGCATTGTTTTAGAGTTAGTTATTATTAATTTGTTTCTAAATTAATTTTTTTAAAAGATTAAAGCATAAAAATATTATTGTACTATATCGATCTGGTTTGTTATGTCCTTGTCTATCTTTCTAGGTTAATTTATTGTGTTCATGTGGCTATTTATATCCAACCAAAGACTCAACAAACCATAATTAATTTCAATACGTGGCATGATTGTATGGCAACACATGTAAAAAAATTTCATGCTTTCCCTCTCTTTATTTTGTTTCTTTTTTTCTTTTTTAAAGATAATATTTTTTATCATTTAACATTTATATAATTAATAATTAGTTTTTTTCCCTTCTAAAGTAGGTCATGCAAGACACACACACACCCTTTTCTTTGTGTAATTTGACGTGATCACACACACAGACATCCATGAATCATCGTGTAAGAGAGACAAGGTTTAGACATGCATGTCACATTCCAAATTTTCACAGCACCTGCTTTTATTATCTTCATTGATGCACTATACTACGTACAGCATATAAACTTGAAAACTACATTTTTCACATAGCTTTAACTAATTTAAGCATCAGGGCACTCCCAGTGTAATAAAAAACTTGTTTTGGGTGTTTGTGGCCAATCCAGAGTGGTGTTTTATCTTCCTCCTTTCAACCTAGTTATCAGGCGTAAATCCATGGAAGTTTGCCACGAAACTTGCCATTTAATAATTTTTTTATATATAATTATGAATACTTGGATGAACTTACATGCATTTCAATTAATTTTTTAAAATTTAAAATTTAATAATTATATAAACCTCTAACAATTCTAAAATTTATAATATTTAAATTAATAATTTTTAAAAAATAAATTTAAAATCTAATTAATTAAATTACACCACATAAAAAACAACATTAATCATCATTTAATAATTTAGTTGGTAAATAAAATGTCACGGTACCAAAATAAATGACGGATAGACAATTACAGCTGGATGAATCCTTCAACTCGCGGGGTATCTTGCCTACGAGGTACCTTTCACAAGACAATACAGGACCACCTCACCACATGGTGACTGCCCCCTCTTGTCTCCTCTCCTCTTTCTCCTAAATTCTGTCACATGTAAAATTCACTAATTTTGTGGCTCAATGTATGGTGGATGGACCGCCTCGAAAACCTGCCAAAGTCATTAAATTCTGACCACGATCTCCACCGCAGTCCCCTTGTCGGTTCCGGAGCGTTGCATTCAGAGTTTCAACATGTTTTTTTTTTTAAAAAAATTGATGCATTGTTTTTAAAAAATACAATTTTTTAATATGTTAATAATAAAAAAATATTTTTTAATATAATTTTTAAATAAAAAATATCATTTCAAAAAACAATCATTCTATGTTTTCAAATACTTCATTCATCCCCTCCATAAAACCAATCATTTTAACCAAACAGTAATTTACACTCTCCTTGATCTTTTCATTGATTTTCATCTTAAAATTAATGCTAGGTGACAAGACGACGTGCTAATTCCTGATAAATTGGTCATGTCTACATTTTCAGCACTGACCGCGAGAGTGCTGGAAAAGTAGTTTTATCATTTATGCACCCTGAATATGATCGGAGACTAAATAAATTCCCAAGTATCAACTGGTCCTGAATTCAAAGACTATTAAGTTTCACTGGCAATCTACTGCAAGAAGAAATTATCATCCTTTTCTAGTTTTTTTTCTCTCGAAGAACCCGCTTTCGATGGCTAAATTTCAGACCTTGAAAAACGTGGTGACACCGGAAATTGCAGGCCGTGGGTGGTGGTCCGGTCCTATCATAAAGTGGTTAATTTGCACTGATTAATCATCTTTCAAACCTCAAATGTGCGTCTACCACACCACTTCACTTCACCACCAGTTACACAACGTAATAGTCACGGGTTCATAGAGCATTCTTGCTGGTGCGCGCCTGCACTTTAGGTGGTTATATTTCTATCTCACCGAATAATGTTTGAATATTATCCCCTCAAGATCATGAGATTTATCAATCCTGTAGCACATTGATTAACAACAATCCAGAAGGACAGGGCCTCTTACTGTCACGATCAACTCTCCTTGATTTTTTTTTTTTACCCCTTTACTTTCTGGTCACAATGAAAATGAACTCGGATTATTCAGTCATTGTCGATGAATCAGGGCTTCGAGAAATTGAAACCACTAGTCATACGAGAGGGAACGGTGAGCTGCGAGCCAAGATTATGGACATGAAAAAAGGGCACTTGTTTGTAACTAGCACAATTTCATCACCCCTTTTACCTAACTGGGCTATGCATGCTCAAATAGTGTCGTGCGTATTAGACACATATTTCGGGTTCGATTTTCAGTATTGTTAGGTGCAACACTTTTGTACTTGAATCACCTCGACAGACTTCTATCCAAATTTTCCTTGTTCAGTTCTTTTCATGAAAGCAAACCATTTGCATGTATTCGGGAAGTTTTCAAGTTCAATGATTTTGACTGCGTCGTAAAGTCAAAGAATAAAAATTTGATCCCAAGAACATCCGTGTACTGTGTAGAATAGAAAACGAGGCGCTCGGCCGACCTTGGACGAAGCCACTGTTTCCCAAGTTACTGAATCCCTGGAGATCAGGCGAGGATCCCCTGTGGGTCTGTTTCTCCTTTTGAGTTGAAGCAAAATTGCCTGTTCTGTCACCATCCTGGTGATGCTTTGTTATAGGAAAACTGCGTTACTGATACTCAGAAACCCAATGCCGACGTGAAATTTTATATAAAATAATAATATAAATTATATTTTAAAATCTAAATTGATATGATTTTTTTCACTTCAAGAGTTCTCACGACAAAGAATGAAGAAAACAGAAAAACAATAAAGACAACATGAATGATAAATGCATTCAAAATGATATCATGGTCTATAAAAGAACACACAACCCGTTTATCAAATACTGATGGAGAAGCACAAGCACCATGTGCTTTGATATCATTTCAACATTTAAGAATCAAATACCGATCAAATCCAATCTTGAATAAGTGAGATTCTAAAATTGAGGGAGAATGATTCTGTATTATGTATATAACTCTGGACCGAATAAATTTTTAGATTAAAAAAGAATATGCTTGCATCAAATTACATATAAATTGATAATTTCTATATTCTGGAATAATAAATAATTCGATCTTATATGAGAAGTATATCTAAATTAATCAGATTACAAATTTTTTTTTTTAATTATTAATTTAAATTTTTTAATTATTAAAAAATTATATAATTATTAATTTCATTACTCATAAAATTAGTTACAGTGTATGCAACAACCATATCAAACCAAAAAAACAAATAACTTAGTGGGCTGGTAGGAGTACTAATCAGGGCTAATTCTAATTTAAGCGATGGATGAATGATTATAGCCTAGAATTCAATGGGTATTTCAGTTTTGTCATTTGTGGCATTGCACAACACAAAATAGACCACGCCAGAATGACGTTGAGGAAACGAAAGCAACGGCAGCGATCCCTCTCCTCTGCAGATTCGCTGTGCAGTTGAGACCATTGCACAACATTCAAATTTAAGTGACCGATGAATGATTATTGCCTAGAATTCAATGGGTACTTCAGTTGGGTCATCTGTGGCATTGCACAGCACAAAATAGACCACGTCAGAATGACGTTGAGGAAACGAAAGCAATGGCAGCGATCTCTTTCCTCTGCAGATTCGCTGTGTAGTTGAGATCACAAAAGCCTTGCAGTCCTATAGAATTACAGCGCGACCTCCGTTCCGTACTTGTTTGTTTCTCTACTACATTTGCAATGTAACTGGAATTGGCCTTAAATCAGAGAGGACAAACTTATGACAGTACTGAGTACTTATTTCCTTGCATGGCAAGTGTATTCCCAAGTTTTTATCTTCTCCGTGAGTTTAAAATATAGAAAAGTCTAGTGTACGTGGACAATTCAGAGTCAATTTAAGGTAACAGAAAATACATCAACAAGTTTTACTAATAAGAACGACAAGTTCTTTTAAAAAAATAGTCCCCGAAAAACAAAATTAATCTTTTGAAGATTAAGAATATTCCCATCTATCGTGATGGCTTTGTTTCTAGCACCTGGAATTTTACAAAACATCGGTCTCAAGATGAAATTGCACAGTGCTTATTGTGAGGAAGACACCTAACCTCTCTGGTGGGACCAGACATTTCTCCATCAAGAGGTTTCAATCTAAGCGGGGTTACCGTTTAACAAGATTAATTTAAAGTTATTGTGTGTCCATTTATCCCTCATATATATATATATATATTTTGTGGTTTGTAAATGAATAAAAAAAATTATTTAATATTAAAAAAAATTATTTTTTCAATTAAGTCATGATAGATAAACTCTTCTATTTAATTTCTTAATATTATTATATAAATATTTAAAATATCAAAAATTAGTATTTGAAGTTTTGAACTTGAAACTTAATATGAACAGTTATACTGTTTCATAAAAAATCATACTGTTTGATGAACCATCATATTATTTCATCAATAATCATATTATTTGATGAACAGTCATAATGTTTTATCAATAATAATATTGTTTGATGAACAATCACAATCAACAGTCATATTATTTGATGAACAGTCATATTGTTTAATCGTTATGTTTCAAGTCTATAAAAACATTTTACTACAAAGAAAAGAAATATAACAATAAAATATATATATTCTTTTCTTGATCTTATCTTCTTATTCTTTTAGAGGTTTAGAGGATTTAGTTGTATTCTGGAAATGTTGTTCTGTGTGAGACAAATAAATACCTTAAAGATGGTATTTTCACACCTCTAAACCAACATCATATTTGTTTCCATCCTAAACTTTCCTAACATGTTACTATACAATACAGGTTATATGCAAGCTTCACTAAAATTGAACTCTACCATTTATTTTAAGTTTTAAATCTGGAAAGAAACCACGTATAAAACAGTGACTTCCATGAATATTTCGGTTCTGAGAAGGGTTTGTTTCAATGCACTAAACTTCTCTAAGAATTTGAACCAGAGAAAAATTTGCCCCAGAATACGACGACTGCACGTAAAAAAACTCAAGTAAATTGGCTTCGAGGTTGATGTATATGATAGCTAGTATGGCATCTACATCCACCATGAGCATCCTCATTAGGAGGGGCAAAAACTGCAGCCGCCTCTGCATAAACCTCATTCAGCACATGTATGATGCAAAAACGATCTCAATTTGAGGAAAATAAGCTGTATAAATAGGTAAACTCACAATTATTGGGGCCACTTCAGTTTACTAGAACAAATTACTTAACTGTTGTTACAAAAACATACACACATACATTTTCATATTTACAGAGAGAGAGAGAGAGCAGTCAATTTTAAAGGACATGAAGATTTACTACTTGCCTGGAATTAATGTAGGCACATTAAAGACATGCCATGGATGGCTGTAGACCCTCTCCATCCGGCTGCCACGTTGAATTATCACTTGCAAGAGTAGTATTCCATCCACAAGAATCCCAACTGTACCCGCTATTACTCAGCAGCAATTCCGGCAATTCAATCTCGCCCCAGAAATCATCACCAGCAACTTCACCGTCACTGCCACCACCACTGTTTGTTTCGCTGCTCTTTTTCATTGGAATCAGTACCGAATGTGCTGCCTTTGCTGCTGCTGCTTGAATATCCCTGGCCGTACACGTGGACGGTATAGGCAAATCATCGACTTCTTCAGGAAAATTGAGCTGCGCTTTACAACCTTTAAGACAATACGCTGCCACATCATATGCCTTGGCTGCCATTTCTGGCACAGGAAATGAGCCTAGCCAGATGCGTGATTTCTTGCGTGGCTCTCTAATTTCAGACACCCATTTTCCCCACCTCCGTTTTCGGACACCGCGGTAGACGGGGTGTCGGGTGCCGCTTCCCCGGGTAGCATCGGGAATTTGTAGCCGGGTCATCTTCAGTGTAGGGGAGCTGCTCCATACACGTTTAGAGCCGTTGGCCTAGGACGTCATGACATTATTAATATTTATATTTGTTCCGGACGCTGACAAGACTACAACTGCCACGTAAATTACTCAACTGTCCTTTTCTAAAAACAATTGAGTATGACCATATAAATTGCCTCCGGATTAACAAAACATATAAAAAAACTAAAACCAAAGGCAAAAACACATCGCAATAAATTTAGTTTATCATTTACCACTACAGTGTAATTATTTTTCTCTTTAAATAAAATCAATAAGCTTATTTTTGAGGTAAATAGTCTGTACACGTTAGCTCCCAATTATTATGAAATTGACTAAGAATAACACGTTTTTTATCTTTTTTTTAACAAAATTGAATTTCTTAATACCTTTAAGAATAAAAAAATCAATGAAATGCCATCCATGGTCGTCATTTTCATCCCTTTCTTTCATATTATCACAATGAAAAGGTGGTACTTCCCTTAAAAAGCAAAAATTGATAGCCTATCAACGGGCTATTTTATCTTTTTACTTTTGTTTTTTGTAATATTTATGTTAGCTTGGGAGTAATTAATTATTTGATAAATATAAAATATTAAAAAAATCATGCCATGTCAAAATGCATCGACCGCTGCTCCACTTTCAAGCTATTTGTGTGAAGGCTTTCAACGATCAACGCGGGTTTCCTTTGAATTCTTCTCAAAGCCTCCTCTATTTCATGGCGGTGCATGTGGTGCTCTCACCTCCGGTATGACATTGATAGATTTTTATACTTTATTTTTTTCATTATTATTTATCCTTTTTGATTTGAAGGTATACTAAAATTCTAATTATAATATTATTAATACTATGAATTTTTTTTAACGAGATTAATCTAATAATATAAAAAAATTATTAATAATTAATGCAGTTAATTATATTTAACATTAAAGATAAATGAATCACTTATTATTTTTGAGCGACAAATAAAATATACTAGAGTTATTGTTAATTATTTTTTTATATTGTTAAATTTTTTTAGCTGAGATCTTTTTTATTAAAACTTTATTGTATCTTTTGTAACTCTTTTTTATTTTTCTCTCGTTTGCATTCTCTCCTCTGCAATTCATTTCCTAATAATTTTTGAAAATATCATGAATTTGAACAATAATAAGTTTTAATTGGAATATGTACCAATATTTAACTAATTTTTTTAACAAAAATATATTATTTTACTGATATATTTTTTTAAAAAAAATCTTGAATTATTTGCTCTTTCATTGGACGTCAATGCGCAGAGGATATTTTGGTGCTTCAAAAGCAAGAGCATCCAATAATTGTAGAAACCACGCGATAATTTCCCCGGAGGCCGAAAGCTAGATAGTTCTTTTGTGGCTCTAGAAAAATCACATGATCTAGCATGCACCCTGTCGTATTCACACAGCGCGGGCTGGTCAATAAACCGCAAAAGTAAAAGAGACAAAATTCAATTGAAAATTCATTTTTTTTCTGGGCACTTCAAGGATGAAGAAATTGTTCTGGAAAGATCTAGAGAAAATATTAGGTCGCTGAGTGAATTGATCTTGGAAGGGAGACTGGGAGGACTGATTTCTTTTAGTTTTTATAGCTTTTTATAGAAGGTGTTGGAGAAAAGATGAGATTTTAAAAAAAAAATCATAAAAATATCTACATAATTACTAATAAGATGTTATTTATTATTTTTCGAGGATCATGTTTTTATACCTCTATTGTTTTTTCAATAATTTTTTTAAATATTGAAACCATTGTTTTCCAAAAACAAAAACTAAGAATAATATTTATTAATCTTTGGGAGAAGCTTTGTTCTAAAATAATTTTTGATTATATTTTCAAAAAAATCATGAAATAATAAGAAATTAAATCTTTTAAAATTATAATTAAGAATATAGTTGTAGTTGTTTTTTAAAAAAAATTTATTAAAAAATATATTAATAATATTTTTTATTTTTAAAAAAATATTTTTAAGATTAGTAACTTAAAATAATTTGAAAGTATTAAAAATATATTAATTTAAAATAAAAAATTTAAATATTTTTAAAATACAGTGCCAGCCAAACACGCATTTAACTAGATGGAAATTGCTGAATCGCTTTTGGTGGGTTCCATCGTGATTACCTTTTTTCCTGTAATTTTAAGCATATATTAATGGAGAACTGAGTAATTAAAACTGAAAAGATCATGTTTTTTCAGATCGGAGATTAAATTGCTAGTTAAGAAAAAAAACTAAAAAGAATCTTGTTGTACAGTAAAATATCATTTTTGCTCTCTATTAATTATAACAGCCACATGAGTTAGGATTGGATTGTAGCTTCAATTAATGTTACCAACTTTGATGGTATATATATCGGTTTTTTTTTTGCACTGATTTATTTGTTTTTTGAGTAAATAATAAATACAAGGGTATTTTAGTTTGTTTAATCTTTTCAAAACAGCAAAATTACATCAGTACCTTTAAATTCATTTTAAAAAAAAATAAGGTCAAGGAAATTTTCAGTCTTTTTCTCGTTATCTAGCACAATAAAATAATTTCATTGACCTTACAAGCAAAAAATAAAAATAAAATTATCAATCAAGAATATTTTCATATTTCTAACATAGTTTATTTTATTATAATCAATTTAAATTAAAAAAAAAAGTATTTTAATAAATATTAATATTAATAATAAAAAAAAAGTTACTAGAGCGCCAGTGAGTGGACGCCACTCATGTGTCCTTTAGGCGGCACATGCGGTGGCAAAAGAGTCCAGCCACCAACGAAAGTTACTAGCAAAACTTAAATATTATTTTTCTTAAATTACGAAAGAAGAAATTAATATTTGCCTTGCCGGCGGCGAAACATAAGCTATCTTTCTAATAAAGTAGTGTTCTTGTGAGAGAGTCTAATTGTGAGAAGGAGACAAGCACACGACGAAAGTTGACATTTTGACTTAAAAAAGCTGGAGTGGAAATATTATTCATATATTCATTAGTCTTCCTTTCCTTTCCTTTTTTCTTTTTTCTTTTTTTTTCAACCGGAACATTTTGTTTCTCGATTAATGATTGATAGGTGAAATCTATAAAGGAAATATAAAGTTCAAAAATAGACTATTAAAATATAAAAAATAAGAAAACCGCATGGCTAAAATAAAATTGGAAAGAAATATTGTCATAAAAAATAAATGAAAGATAAAGTTATCGGAAGGGAAAAAAAAGAAGACCAACATTGAAAAAGATTTTATTTCATTCTTTTATGTGTTTTTTAATGAATTTTAAATTGTTTTGAGTAACTAAATTGCCACCAATTTCAATATCCACAAAAGCAAGGAGTGATTCTTTTCAACGATAACTTTGGTTTTTTATGAAATCAATGAACCAAGAATCCAAAACGTCGAGGACTTGAATAAAGGGCCAGCATACAACAAAAGGCGTGTGGTCCGTCGCTCATACTGGATTGAGACGGCAAATAACCTGTTGCTTGCTGTCAGAGCAAGATTGCATTTCAATTTGCTGATCTGCTGTTTATCTTTACCTCAGCCACAGCCCAGTAAAATCCACATTCTGCAAATCATGCTAATGCTCGTTCCGGAGACCTCGCTCTTCTTGCTTGTACCTTGCGACAGGAGATTATGCACCATAGCCAGCCAATGTCAACAGAGTATCGCCATGCTTGTCCCTCGCTAACCGAACATAAATAGCCCGGTTTGGTTTGCGAGGATGTGGGGGTGCGTCATCTTTAATTTCCCCAGTCTATTCTTGGGTCATTTCTCTCCTTCCGTACAAGCTCGACAAGACCACCCACATAACTGGGTCTTATCTGCATTAAGGAAAAGCGTGTTAAACAAAAACGGACCAGCTGAGCCAATCTGCAGAAGCTTAAAATATGGAGGGCCTCAACACCAACTGGCCACATTAATCCCTGGGGTTTGCGAGGAAAGAAAATCAAGAACCCTAGGAACACATGGCCTTGCTCAAGGCTATTCATTCTTTGTCATTCCTGAGAGCAAGAGCTATTGAGTAGTTGTTTAGGTGTGCTTGGAAGGTATTTTTAAAAAAAATTGAATTTTTTTATTTTAAATTAACATATATTTTTTTTATATTTTTAAATTATTTTGATATGTTGATTTTAAAAATAATTTTTAAAAATTAAAAAATATATTATTAATATATTTTTTAATATAAAAAATATTTTTAAAACCAACAACAAATATTAAATAACATTAATGGACGCCACCCACCAGAAAGCTAAAAAAAAAAAAATCTCAGATAAACATCATTTTGTTCGGTTGTTTCCTGAATTTCGCCCTTAGTTTCTTCGGAAGGGGATAATCCTATACATAAACTAAATCATTTCAAGTTCTTCATACAAACTGGTTTGACAGTACATTTTAATGTTTTTATGATCCATAATCTATCATTTATAGTTGCTATGTGTAATTTACCTCTCAGGGCCAAGGCAAGAGAGATGGGACCTATCAAGGAGAGTAAGTAATAGCTAAATGCTGGTGCAAAAGACTTTTGGCTGTTGAGAATGTTATCTCGCGCCATAGTAATAATAAAGCTAGTGCTTGAAAAGCCTACTAGAAACAAATTCTTGGACTCCCCGTTTTAGATGAAAATACCCATCTTCGAGAGAGTGGAGCCCTCAAATGTGTCATGACTATTTTTGCACTTCAAGATAGTAGGATCCCTGGGGGGGGTTTCAGACTATCAACATGGGTTTTCAGGCTCTCAATATTTCCATGTGTAGAGTAGTAACTAGAACTGATGGATGTCGGTTCAATTCTATTTGTATTTTGTTTGTTTGTAACAAAAGGGGGCTTAACGCCACCAAAAAATAAAATAAAAAAAGAGAACATAACTACAACTTCTGAAGCCTCTTATTCCTATACAATCTTTTGACAGGTGGTCCAATGTAAAAGCAGGAACTTCTGTAAAATCTGCATAATACAATGTTATTTAGACCCACCCTAAAAATATCGAGGCCGGGAGCTCAACAATTTGCTTCCCTGTGCACATTAAACACTTTAACAATCTAATTCCGGCGACGAGGCCTCCAAATTTGTTCGAGAAGCACAAACCAAGGCCTTGTTTCTTCTCGGTAAGAGGGCAATAATTGTTTCGCAGCCCAAGAATCCGCTTCTAGAAGTACACGCATCGCCCAGCTATTGTTGCTTTTCTGGCTCAAACCAGTCCTTATGTCAAGCCTCTCTTCATATTTGGTCCCTCATGTTCCAATTACTTAATTTTAATTTCATTATGAATGAGTTTCACATGATTTGGCATGGATATATTTATTTTTAAATGATCTAGGTGAAACTAGAACCTGCGCCTAGGCTATCTTTAAGGCATGGGGGCATGCTCGTTTTACTTTTCTTTTGCAGTTAAAAACCAATCATAACATTGTTTTATAATCCAATTCAAGAGTGGCATGGCCATACCAATCTAAAGATAACACTACGGATTGCTAAGAGAGTGAAATTATATAAGTTATAAGACAATGTCTGCTTAGAAGGGGAAAACATAATCACGCATAGCATTAAACTTGCTGGCCACATCTTAGACATTGAACTATTATATTTCATGTCATGAAAATTAAAAAGAACATTAAGTTGATCATGAGAAGATCAAGCCCACCAATGGCGTTACCCCTCTCAATTAAGGAAAATCGAACCCTCTATCGGCCTTTAAGTCAAATCCATGATCCATATTTGGGCCCAATCATAAGGCGTGAGTTAAATTAAGCCGACACAACATCTCTGTAATATTCACCCACCGTCACTCGTTTTTGAGCCTGTTTTTAATATATTTTCAAAAAAATAAGAAATAGAAGATTATAAGAAATTCTCAAAAAAAAATATTTTTGACGGGATTTGATTCTACTAATATTCAGTCATTTTGTAGTTTTGAATTATTTTGTTTATCGTTTTCATGATAACAAACTTGTTTTTAAAAAATAAATTAGAAAAAAAAAACTCTTATTAGGGAGAATAATGTTGCTGTAAAAGAGAGGGGGAATAATTTGAATTTTGAAAACCTAACCTCTGAGCAATTCAAAAATAAAAATAAATGAATGGATAAATATATAAAAAAAATGTTAAAAGTTCAAAAATAAATAAATAAAATCTCTCCAGTCACAGCCTAACACAGTCATTCCTGCCGCGAATATTCACGCTAGCGACGGCCCCCTTCAACACAAGAGACAAACACACCAAACATATCAGCTCCACGGTAAACAATCTCCTCTCTTCATTCTACTGTAGAAGTACGCGCAAAAATCACTTGCTCATTTTCATCTTTTCTCTCGCCACCTCTCTCTCTCTCTCTTTTTTTTTTTATTTACGTGAGGTGTCCGGGCCAGCTTGCGCGCACCACGACTAATCCCCACGGCCCACTGAATACCCTGCAAACCCAGTAGACATATAAGGCACCACGGGGATGACAGGCGTGCACGCCAGGACTCGAACTCAGGTGCAGTGGAAGGAGACAAGCCCCTTCCACCACTAGGCCAAGCCCTAGTTTGCATTTATGTTATTTTTTATAACCCTAACCTAGCCTCATTCGTCTCAATATATTTTACACTAGTAACAAGTATGTGTATTTTTCATATAAAAATCACACATTTTTCAATTAATCTACAAACTTTACTTTTTAAACACATTAAATAGTTATCTTAAATTATCTATATGTTAATATAATTCTTTATCATAAATCAATATATTATGAAAATAAATAAATAGAGACCTATCAACGAATACATGCAATATATAATTTATCAATCTTATAAAAGTATTAGGTACATTAATAAGTTCAAAAGACATGATTAATCATCATATAAATTATATTTAGTTTTAAAAATAGTTTTTTATTCATTATCTTCTTTTATTCTAATGTATTGATATCCACTTTTAAGATCAATTTTAAACAATAAACAAGACCCATGCAATTTATTAGCACATATCATCTAATATAGGGATATGATATTTAAACTTTATTGTTATTTTATTGATTGCTTTATAATCAACACATATTGTCCAGGTATCTTATTTCTTCAGTACTAAAAATACAGAAACAACACATAAACTTTCTCTTTCAAATGTAACCTTTTAACATTAACCCCTTCACTTGCCTTTAAAGCTCATTTGTTTTTTAAGAATTATTTCTATTTAAGTTAGTGTATTAGAAAAGGCTAAACTTGATATTAGATTAATCTCATGTTTAATTTCTTTTGTAGGTGGCAATCCATTTGGAATTTCATTGGAAAATACATTTTCAAGTACATTTAACAAAGAAACAAAAACACTAAAAATACATAAATCAAGTTTGTTAGTGTAAAAATATATGTTTTTATACAAGAGTAAAATCATGTGCATATTAGAAAAATACATTGATGGAGTTGCATGAGTGTGTTAGAACATTTGATACCGACACAATTTTTATTACATTAGTCAATTAAATAGTATAAATCTTGACCACAAATTGGTTACAATTTTGGTTGAGTGATCGAGAGAGGAGACATGCATCTTTCATTTACATGTTGGTAATATGACACTCATATTATATGTCGTTATGTTGATTGGGCAAAAAACATAATGATTTGGATAAGTAATTTATAAATTTCAGGAAAAAGTATTTTTTTTATCTTAAATAATCAACATTCTTTTCTTAGAAGAGACAATCAATTCATTTTACATATGTAACATGTATTGTCATACCTGATATTACGGTAACTTTTAAAAATTCAATTGCTAAAAAAAAAAGATTTCAAACATCTTGTTTTTAGATGAAAAATATATTGTTTAAGGAATCGACACCTAGTATTATGGTTACTATGAATCCTAACTTGTTAACAGAAATCCTATGGTACAATACTAGTTACGCAAAATAAAAGATACTATTATCATTTAAACGTCCTACCTTAGATAAGTTGTATTGTTGATTTTATCTTAAATTATTAAGAATTTGTTGTATTATGTTACCAATGGTCTGCTTGTAATATTTTTAACTCTGACATTAGTGAATATTTACCTACAAATACTTTTAACTTTAATGTTGACAAATATTTTGTAGCAAAAAAAAAAAAGTATAGTATTCTTAATTCTAACGCCAGTAAATAAACCAATAAAATAAATTTAAATCAATGTACATATATTTTTTTATTTTTAAAAATAAACATTACATTGTATACCAAATTTCTATTTCATAATAAAAATTCATGAGTCAATTATAGAGTAAAATCATTAAAAAAAAGGGACCTATAAATAAATTCTAAAAAAATCCAAGAGATTTTTTTAAATTTTTTGACATCCAGAATGGTCAGTTTTTCTAGATATTAAAATAAAAGGAGATAAAGTATAAAGATGTGTTTCATGAAACATACCTCCGGCCTAATACAAATTAGGCCGGCTAAGGCCTGAAGTCTAAGCCTGGCCCGGTCTGTTCTCTCCTCTCTTTTTTTTTAGATGAGCTTGATCCAGGGTCTGGCCTGATCACTGGCCCGGGCCACTGACCAGCTGCCTAGCATGCGTGAATTACTCACACAAGCTGGCAACAGTGCCAGTCTGATTAAGAAGGAAAAGCGAGGGAAGAAGAATGCTACTGACCTGTAGCTTGAAGACCGAAGATGAAGACGTTGGTGACGACCTGGCTGGGCGACGTCCTCTCCCTTCTTCTGTTTTATCTCATGCTTTCTTCTACTCTCAGGATTCCTCCCTCTCTCCCTGTTCTATCTGCCTATTCTTTTCTTTTCTTTTGTTCTCTGTTTTTTTCTCTGGTCTCTCTTCTCTCTGTATCTCGGTGTCGTCCTCTGTCTTGTGTGATTCATCGTTTCGTGCCCTTTCTCTCTGTACTCTCCGTCCCCCCTGTCTGGCCTTTCTCTGGCCATTATAAGGCCAGAGAGTGCACTCTGTTTGTCCCCATGATAGCGATCATGAGCGACCTGCACTATGGGAACTCAAAGTCCTGCAATGGTAACAACCAACTTTCATTTGGAGATGAATCGTGTGATATTGGGCAGCTGGTAAACTTGGTAGTAGATGTGGTCCATGATTGAAATCGTTTTGGCGCATTTTCCTTCTGAATCGGTCTCCGGGACGAGAAAGAAGGCGATGAACAGTGATTCCAAAACAGTGCCGTTTTCTTGAATAAAAATGGCTATTTTCAATTTTGCCCATGGATAAATTACAATTGGACCACTGTATTTTAGCGCCATTTACAACACGATTCTTGGTTTTTGAATTATTCAACTCACTCTTTAACTTTTGATTCTTCCAAAATTACCTTTAGAAAAATCAATTAACCCCTTATAATATCACCGTTTATTCATTTTGATTATTGGACTTTAACTTGTTACAATTTCAATCCAAATCAGCCTCAAACTTTGATATTTTTTAATTAAATCCTTAATTGCATTGATTAAATAAATTAAAATTTAATTAAGTCTATAAACTTATCAAGTCTT